AGAGACAGAGACAGACAGACTGACTGGCATGCATACATTGGGTACATCGCAGGGCATTGCATTGCACTACACTACCTTGCATCACATGAGTTACTTTACATTGCATGTCGTTGCATCACGTTATATGGCATTTCATTACCTTACATCATTTTACGCTGTGTGACATGAATGGCAACACAACACATTAAACTACCTTACGCAATGGCAGTACACTACATTACATGACCCTGCGTTACATTGCAATAGATGACATTACGCTACGTAACCCAACATTGCACTCAAACAGAATTGCTCGCACTCATGCATGCATCATGAGGCTACAGAGCATTATGCAACACTCTATTCCTACACCCTGCATGCTACACACTAAACACGTAACGCTGCACAATAGACCGGCAACTACAGACGCCGCAGTACACCCTACACCGTACGCAATGCACACTATGCACTGCACACTAGACACTACAAGCTTGACACGAGACCATTGCATCATGTTGCATTGCAATTCATTGTATAACAGTTCGTTACATTGCATGACATTGGATTACATTGCACTACATGGCATGAGCATGACACTACACTTTACAGTGCAAATCGTCATGCCTGCACGTACATGCGTGCATTCAGAAACATATGTAACTGTGTACGTGTGTAAATGTACCGATTACATATACATATACGCAGCATATGTGGACATGCACGCACTGTAGTCGATACATACATTCGCATAATGTTCTGGTTGGAGTCATCCAGACTGCAGATTGACGATTAAACGGATGGTGTCAACGATGATGAGTGCGCACGTAATGCAGGAGCAAGCAGGAATTTGACAGTCCCTGTATGCAGCAGGTCGGTTTCAACGGCATCGTCATCCTCATCATCTAGATAGATGTAGATACAAATGTAGATGTAGATATAGGCGTAGACACAGATGTAGACGGATATACATATCGTATATATACATATATTTACATATATGTTGGGCTGCGATGGAAGGCACGAAAATAACTTGCGGGCACACACCTCTGCAGAACCATGATGGGTTCGAGGATGACGATGAGGATGGGGATGACGA